ACTAACTGTGAATAGCCTTCGCTGCTCCTTATGTAGCCTCGTTCGGACAATACAGAAAATGGCCACGTAATAGGCACCACTGTTGTCTGGTGCCGTCGTGCTAGCAACGCTGTGTACCGCTGTTACTACCGTCGTCTCTCGCAACCACTGTTTACCCGTGCTGCCTAGCAACCGTGGTACCCCTTGGTGATGTCACCGCTGTTGATTCGCGTTGCATAGCTACCAGGATGCTGGGACTCGGCTAACTTCAGCTCCGCTCGGCGCGTCAGCTCCGGGGAGGGGTCCAGCTAGAGCAACACGTCACACTGCTCCCTCCTTAAGGCTGTTCGTCCTGAATAGCCTAACGGTGCATCCCTGTTCCTTTGCTTCGGAGGCTGTTCTTGCAGCATCTGTTCTCTGGCCGTTACAACGGCTCCCTTCTTAAGATCAACTCGTCTCGAGCGGTTTCCTTTCAGCTCGCCAGAAGATCAAGTTGTGTCCCATTCATCCATCACTTTCATTCTATGGCACATTCACTCTCTCTGGGGAGGCCGGTTCTTCTACATTACCAGTTCCTCCTCTGCTTGAAGTCTCTTTTTCCGTTTTGGAGGGGGTCGTCCCCTCCACAAGGTCCAATCCTTGCTGTGTCGTAGGCAGACAGAAAATCCGGCTACTCGCCTGGCGATCTGCAGTCTTGCAGTTTTTCTCAGGTCTGCTTCCTTCACATATTGCGGCTGTCTGCTGCCTAGGTCCTTCACTTCATTTCTGTGTTGTAGTTGCTGTCTCAGGCCTCGGTTCCTGATGCCAGTGTTGCATTCTGGGCCTTTCAACAGTCTCTTCACGAACGTCCGTTTCTTGGTGATTTCCGGTGCAACCTTATTCTTGATTTGTCCCATACGCCTGTATACTACACAGCGTGTAATCTTTATTCCGGTGGCGGTCACTTCTTTCCGCAGGCATCCGAAGGTTCCCAGGGGAATTTCCTTCTTGAAGGCAATTCTCCGTCGTCGTGCCACTGTCGCACGACGGGATGTCTTCCTGCAGGGGGCAGCCAACTTCATCCGGGGTCCACAGTTCCCCGTGTCGAATTCTTTATATTTCGTCGATGTCGGTCCCTGTGCCTTTTCTTCTTCGGTTCTCCAACCGGCATTACTTCGGCGTCTTGTACGGGTACCTCTAGTAGTTCTGCCGCCTCAGGTTTCCTGTGCACTGAAGCCGGCTCTTCTTCTGGACGTGCCTCCATTTCTTGGCAGGCCATCTTCACTCCGACCGGTACTGCAATGGGGACCCCTTCTTGTTGTGCTGCCGCAGGTTTCGTGTCCACTGGGTAGGCCGCCATCTCCTTTTGGGTAATCGGCATCAATTGATCTTCAGGTTCACTGACCGGTATCACTGTGACATCGTCTACAGGGACCTCTTCTTGTTGTTCCGCCTCAGGTTTCATGTCCACTGGGGCCGGCTTTTCTTCTTCTAGATATGCCTCCATCTCTTGACAGGCTATCGTCTTTATGTCTCTTTCGGGT